CATGGCCGATGGTGGCACCCTGGTTCTCCTGGCTTCTGGACCATATTTTGAGTTAATATCTGTCTGGGCAATGGAGGGTCATCTGACCGACGGAGGATCCGCTGGGTGACAGATGTGCTTCCTCTTAGTCTTCTGAGTATGTAGGTCATGGGGTCTAGACCCATATACTCCATCAGGAGTCCCCCATTCTCTGAGCTGAGATGTAGACGAAGTGAAAGGAGTAGATTATGGTTGTTTTGATGCTTTTGGCCAACGTAGGATTACCTAGGAGTTCTGGCATTCCTGGACGAGGCGGTGCCATAATTGAGCCGTCATGGGTTGCCTTTTGTGTTCTGGTCGAGGAGGCACCACAATTGCTTTTGGTGCTCCAAGTCGAAGCGAAATCATCCCCTCTATGGCTTTGAGGACGATGGGGGTCCTGAACCAGAGAACGTTGTTTGTAGACGATGAATGTCTTGCCTTTATGCCTTTGACTTTAGTTGATGGATCATGTGCTTGTGGACGTTGGGGTGTCAGTGTGGTTTTACATGGTATCCTTGTCATTTTTAAACTTTTGTTTACTCAGAAATCTTTTGGAGCGTGTGGAGGTCGATACAGTCCCCCAGTCCCCCACTCCTTAAGGCACATGTAATGAGGTGAAAATGAGTAAAGTAATGCATGTCTTCAACAGGGGGCCGAGGGTCAACACCTTTTGATCCGCAATGGGGAGATGCCTCGTTAAAAACCTCATTAGGAAAAACCATGTGGGAAAAATCCTAATGAGGGAAAAAGAGTACACCAGATGTCCCCAAAACGAAACAAAAGGGGTGCACCCTTCGGTCTTGGTAGCTGTAGCAGTGTCCGTCTGCTGAGGGGACGCCTGTCTGAATATGAGAACAACGATGTTGATGAGCCGGTCCGAATATGAGGACGAGGGGATGGACGCCAGTCTGAACATGAGGACGAGGCGGTGGACGCCCGTCTGAATATGAGGACGGTGGTGCTGATGAGCCGGTCCGAATATGAGGACGAGGCGATGGACGCCTGTCTGAATATGAGGACGAGGCGGTGGACGCCTGTCCGAATATGAGGACGACAGTGGTGATGAGCCATGCGTCATATGAAGGCGACACTCGCTATCCAGGAAGGGAATGACGAGCCCAGTCGTTAGCTCAAGACTTCGGCGTTGAGGGGCCGATCTTGAGATAGATCATCATGCTGAGGCCGAGGGGCCGGTCGTGATGTGAGGATGACGATGAGGAGCCGGTCCTATAATCTGATGACGGGGCGATGATGAGTCGGCTGTTATATAGAGGCGATTGTCACCATCCAGGAAGGGATGACGAGCCCAATCGCTAGCTCAAGACTCTCGGCGCTGAGGAAGTCGGTCTTGAGATATAGAATCACGGCGAGGTCGAGGGGCCAGTCGTGATATGATGATGTGGGCGCTGATGGGCCGATCGTCATATAAAGGTGACGGTCCCCATCCTGGAAGGGATGGAGAGCCCGATCGTTAGCTCAAGACGCTCGGCGCTGGGGAAGTCGGTCTTGAATTATAGAATCACACCGAGGCCGAGGGGCCGGTCGTGATATGAGGACGTCGGCGTTGATGGGCCGATCGTCATATAAAGGCGACGACCCCATCCTGGAAGGGATGGAGAGCCTGATCGCTAGCTCAAGATGCTCGGCGCTGGGGAAGCCGATCTTGAGATATAGAATCACGCCAAGGCCGAGGGGCCTGTCGTGATATGAGGACGTCGGCGCTGATGGGCCGGTCGTCATATAAAGGCGACGGTCCCCATCCTGGAAGGGATGGAGAGCCCAATCACTAGCTCAAGACGCTTGACGCTGGGGAAGCCGGTCTTGAGATATAGAATCACGTTGAGGCCGAGGGGCCGTTCGTGATCTGAGGACGACATCACTGATGGTTCGATCATCATATAAAGGCGATGGTCCCCATCGTAGAAGGGATGGAGAGCCCGATCACTAGCTCAAGACTCTCGGCGCTGAGGAAGCCGATCTTGAGATAGATAATCACGCTGAGGCCGAGGGGCCAATCGTGATATGAGGACGACGGCGATGATGAAGCTGGTCCAATAATATGATGATGGGGCAGTCATGAGTCGGCCGTCATATAGAGGCGACGATCGCTTATTCGGGAAGGGAATAGCGAGCCTGATCGCTAGCTCAAGACTCTCGGCGCTGAGGAGACCGATCTTGAGATAAATAATCACGCCAAGGCCGTGGGGATGGTCGTGATATGAGGACGTCAACGCTGAAGATTGTGTTTTGATTTTTACAAAGGGGTCAACTCTTGTCGCATGGTAATTTGGTGAGGGTGGCAGATGAGTATATCAAACGTGCCATTTTCCCCCTAGGCCGAGGGGGCATGTTGCCCCACCTAGGGCTGAGGTGGTACCATGTCATCCGTTCATATGATATGTTATTGGTTGGGAGGGTCTCACTTGATGTATTCTAGCTCTCAACGAGAGCACCAAATGATAGATTAATTGTCTAGAGAGAAGGGAGAACTAGAGAGATAAAGTGATATGTATAAATGAATTTCCAACCCTTACAACTACCCCCAATAGGAGTATTTATAGGGAAAAGATGGGTTGGGCTCCCAAGCCTTGGGCTTGGGAGGCCCGTTTACAATGAGGCCACTATTGGCCCGAATACAAAGTATGGAATCTAGCTATTCGAGGTCTCTGTGGCCGACGGAGGTCTGGCCGACGGAGACATGGCCGACAGGGCACCCTGGTTCTCCTAGCTTCTGGACCATATTCTGAGTTGATATCTATTTGGCCGATGGAGGACCCACTGGGTGACAGCTGTGCTTCCTTTTAGTCTTCTGAGTATGTGGGTCATGGGGTCTGAACCCATATACTCCATCAACTATACTTTGGCCCAATGTGTACAAAATGTGTATACCAAATTAAGTGTGCACAAATATCACTTTGAGATCCTTTTAAAAGCATCAATTTCACACAAGTAAATTTTAGTGAACATACAAGCATGTTTATTATAAACGTTCTCATCATTAATCACAGCCATTTACACTAATGTGATCACTATATATTTCATTTCACATAACAAACAAAATCACACTTGATGAATGCACCAAATTATTAATTTAGAGGTAAAGTATACCATAAAATATTGATATTTGCGCTTTATTAATCTATTGTTGTCCCAGTTTATTTACTACTCCCTCCGTCCCTTATAACTTTGACAACTTTCTTTTTATGAATGTCTCACTAACTTTGTCACTTTCCCTTTAAAGTAAAAAATTTATGGTTCCAGTTAATTCTCTCTCCTTTGCACAAACCCCAACCACACAGTTTTTACTTTATTAATTCTCGTGCCGGTCAAACTTGACAAAGTATTGAGGGACAGAGGGAGTATGTAACATTATCGTTTTTTAATCTGTTTTATTGATTTAAGAAATTCATTTGAATATGACTACATTTTAAAGGTATAGATACGTTTGTAGTCCCTCTAAATATAATACATTTTGTTTTATGTTCCTGTAAAATTATTTTTTGTTTTTCATCCCTGAATATTTATGTTGGTTTTTTTGGTCTATCACGGACGATAACGACCTCCAGTTGACATTAAACAATCACAACTAATAGGTTTCATCTGATTCTTTTTCATGATATTAAAAAAAGTATTGAACTTTTTTACAAGTTTTTAACACCTATTTTTAAAATGTTAAAAAATATTTTTACATTGCTCTAACTCTTATATTAACTTAAAAAAGGATAAATTTAAAAGTTTCTAGTACCACCTCCATGCCATTATATGGGTCGTGTTTTGATTTGACACAATTATTAATAAATTAGTTGAAAAGTAAAAGCCATGATTGAGATTTGAATATAATAAAATGGAATGCTGTTGATCACAATTTGTTTTTATCAAAAAAAGAAATATGACACTTATTTTGAAACAATTTAAAAATGATAGTAAGACAGACAATAGTGTATATTAGTGGGATGCAAAACAAAAAATTGTAAGAACTAAAACAAAGTGCATCATATTTATAGGAACTAAAACTTTTTCCAATGATGTGAATATTACATGTTTACCTCTTTTATGGAGAGACTAAATTAATTTGAATATGACTGAATTATAAATTTATGCCCACACATTAATGAAGAGATCATATATGTAATTGGGAGCTGAATGGGAAGTAGGAAAGCTAGCCTAGCTTCTTTTTTATAGTAAGATAAAGAGAAAAGGCTTATTTTGATAGAGGAAAGGCTTTGTGGTCCATGCTAAGGATCATGTCTCTATAATCATATACTCTCTCCGGTCCCAAATGAAATTCACACTTTGACTTAACACCAATTAAGGAAATAAATTTGACTTTACTGTAGAGTACACTGTTGTGACACTGTTTGACACTGTTTTGCACTGTTTTGATGTAGATAATTTGCCAAATAAGGAAGGAAGAAGAAATGTGAAGTTTATTTTGGACCTACAGAAAAAGGAAAGCGTGAATTTCCTTTGGGACCGGACGGAGTATAAATTAAACTTATTTTGATTAACCACTGACTAAAAGAGTCGGATCATTCGTGTTGTACACATAAAATGTACACATTTTTTGTACACACTAACACACTCCTAGTCATCTATGTACACGAGCAGTTTCTGAACAAATTGCCTATGTACACAGGCAACTAGAGGTTGTGTACATAAAATGTGTATAATTTATGTGTACAAATAGTTTTTTCCAAAAGAATCTAGATATAGTAGCATGTCGGTCGTTAGATGTTAACACATATAATAGGTAATTCATCTCCAGTGTATTAACCAATCATTGGCCAAATAATCCGGTGTGTTTTTCATAATGTCCGCTATGGAGTCATACAACTTATGTGGCTTCACCATAGCTACTTGTGTTAGTTGTGTAGCTACCATTCATTAATTCATTAAATAGATTAGTGACTATTATGAAGCCACCTAAGACATATGATTCTATAGTGAAATCATATAGGACCATATAAATTTGTCCAATACTCATATTTTATGTAGTACTCCGAAGTATTTACTGATATCAACTCATCCGTTTTACAAAAGTCACAATTTTATGAGTACCTTTTTATTTAATTCTTGTGAGCAAACCAAATAAAGACTAACAAATAACTTATAAGTTTTTTACATATTAACTTATAGTTGACACTTGACACATTTTATAAATATCAAAATGAATGCAAAATAATACATTTTATAGTATTGTACTATTGTTGAGTATTTCTGAGAAATGGACCAGTCATTGCAATCTCCATCCACGATCTTCAAGCGCACTTATAACCGCACCTGCAGCCTCTTTGGTATCATTCAATGGAGAGTATGTCCATCTTTCTTTACATATCTGAATGATAAACACAACTAAGTGAGTCGGAGAACAAAAGAACTTACTTGGAATCCGTGAGAGTCCCGTTCGAGTAAGGAGCTCCTGACCGAAACCGCCGTGCGGAACTCACTGTTTGGGGTGGTTCCAAGTGGAATTTTTTGATGAAATTTTTTGAGCATGTTCTTCATCAAGTCTAGTTTATGCATACCAAATTTCAGATCAAAATTTACCTGGGAAGGCTGTTAAATAAATTCTTGAAATATACTGCACTTTATATTTGTACATAATGCGCAGTATGTTTCAATAATTTAGTTAACTGCCTTCCCGATTGAATTTTGAGCTGAAATTTGGTATGCATAAACTAGACTTGATGAAGAACATGCTCAAGAAATTTCATCAAAAACTATGATTGGGAACCACCCCAAACAGTGAATTCCGCACGGAGGTTTGAATCAGTGATATAAGATGTTTAAAAAAGAAGTTCACGAAGACCAGATAAATAATTAGCTCACGTTTTCTTTCCCTGTGAACGGCCGCACCATGCATCGTTCTCTGAGGGATTTGTGGAAATCTGTAAACTTCCATCTACATCGCTCAGCTCCAATCACATAAACAGGCTTCCTGCATTCAATGAAAAAAAGTTGATATAGTTTAATAACCATTAATAAAATAGATTAGTAAAAAATATGCAATGAGTTTCCAATACATTTTATTTGGGATGGAGTATCATTCATTTTATTTTAAAACCTCGTAGTTCTAATTATGATGCTGATTCATAAAATCATAATTTTGTCAAACACCCTCCTAGGCATAAAAAAATGCAAAGAAACTTAGAGTATGGAACTCAAAGTCTCACACTATTATTGTGGGCACATAAATAACATACCCTGTACTGCAGGCCTCACTCAACATGCTAATTGAGTCAGCCGTGATGACAAAAGCATCTGCCAAAGCTAAATGTCCCATGTGTGGGTTTGGACCTGTAATACGTTTGATGTCATGTTCTGCTTCATTAGTACAAGGCCTCGCATCCCATTATTCTTTGTTGTTGAGGAAACTGAATGGTGAAGATATGGATAAAGTAATGCGGAGTATATAGTACCTTCCCCATTCCAAATGTAAACTTTAGGATGATTTCCTAGTTTGAGCACTACAAGTTCTGCAACCTGTTCATGAAGCACTAAAATGATTCAGAGCATGAAAATTTGAAAAATGATGAGTCTGTTTGGCACATTGAGCTGAAAAGTCAAGCTGAAAAGCCGATAGCTAGACACTGATATTTTTTGGTTAGAAATGCTTGATAAAACTTGTAAAGTAGATGATAATTTGATGATATGCAAAAGATACAAAAAGGGTGTTTCTTGGAGCAGTAAAAGACAGATAAAAAACAACAAAACAACATCCAAGCCTTAGTCCCAAAAGATATTGGGGTCGGCTAACATGAATCGATACATGATAGCAGTAAAAGACAGATGCCGGATATATTTTAGCAATAGGTGGCTTATGCTTCAGATGCTTGGCTAGGTATATATTTATTTTCACATAAGAGCTTATTTTAAGTTCCTATTTTATCTACTAAATAAGGATAATGGCTAATTTAGAGCTTAAAATGAGCTTTAAGCTCCTTAATAAAATTTACTGAAAATACAAGCACACCAATCAAGCTTTACCATCTTGGGAGTTCTACGTGAAAAAGAAATTCTGACACTTCCACAAGTTGGAAGAACATTTTGCAGTGATGATGTGAGCTCATTTGCCAAGTCTTCACCATATTTACAATGGGCTGTATAACAAATTGTTAGTGGGAAATTGGGCACATGTTACTTAAAAGTTCAAACTAACATACTTACACACTTTGCTATTTAATAAGTGAGTACTCACAAATCACAATGTACTACCTACATGGTCAGATTTAAAAAAACGAGTTACTGTGTGAATGCTAGGAAATTTTAGTGACTTGGTGATTCCAATTACTCGACAAGTATCTCGGTCATAGTTAAATGTGGATAATCGAAAATGAGAACTGGATATTCAAAAATAACTAAGGAACTTCAATTTAATAAGATACATTTAATGATTTAATAGTTCATAAAACTACAAATTCTTATTCAAGATGTGTTGATGGACAATTGGACAGACGGAGATGAAGATAATGCTGATCTTGAACCAAATAGTGATTAATTTAAGATACAAGAAGTTAGGATTTATTAGATGGTAAAATCTTCTTTAAATGCTTTATGCATTATGCTAGTTACTGCAGATTATTGTTTGTTGCTTCACATTTGAAATTTGCAGCATACAATTTTTTTAAAAGGTGTGCCATACTCAAACACAACCCTTTTGTGTGTAAAAAACTAATAATTCATGACTCTTTTTTTGAGGGTATAATTTATAGAAGGTTCATTAATTCTACACTTCAGTAACAAGACCTTATCAAGGTGGATGCACAAGACTTACAAGTGGGTCCTCCAATGTTTACCACAAGCAAGGGTTTTGGCCGTAGTCCAATTTCCTCATGCCAGACAGAAGCGGCACTTTGCAGTGAGCTACAATCAATTTGATGAAGGGCTCCTATAGTGAGGACCTGCACTTTTTTGTTTTTATGTGGGCGAAGGGCTCCAAAAACATGGTTTTTACACACTTGCAAGCAAAGATCTCCGTTTTGCAGCTATTCTATTGCAAAAGAGAAAAATGAAAAAAAGCATATACCACATGCTTTTCTGGAGGGTTTTGAGGTGTTATCCACCTCCGAATAAGTATAGGAATCTGCTTTTGTCCATCAGGTGTGAGTGGATAATAATCGTGTCGAGGTGTGATGACTATATCAAACCAATTCAGACGTGACCTGGGGTGTTGAATCTGGAAGCATAAGAAATGTCAGTTTCATTTCTTTAAATTTAGCATACTTATTTGATGGGAGAAAGATGATTTGTAGAAGCTCAATTTATGCATAATTTTAGTTCTGAAATAAATGAATGCATCTCAACTCATCATCCTTTCATGATATCTTTCATGCAAGTGAAAAAATGATGACAAAGGTGGTTTTGAAAAATAATTAAATTTAGGTAATTACTTAATAGATACTGTAAATTTCATGCCACTGACCCCAACTAGTTTAAATTAAAGTGGTAGTTGTGAGTTATGACTGGTGATGAAGATGAAATAGCATGACATTGTTTCACTAAACCTGGACAAGAAAAACATTTTCTGGTGCTAACCGCTTTACAGAACATGCAGTGGAAATTGTATCTCGCCCCGATGCAACCACCAACATAGGCCCCTCCCTGAAGAAGTTAGAAAACCAAGAGCAAGAAATTATAGATGGTAGGATTATTAATTGTTCAAATTGAGAGAAAAAAGTATCCCAAGGAAGCCCATCTTCTGACCTACCAGACAAAGGAAACTCTTTCCGGGAGAATACACAAGGAAAGGAAAAGTTACTCCCTCCCACCAAATGACCCCTTAAATGGCAAGACTAAGAAAAGAGGATGCACTCATACTTTTCAAATGTTTCATGAGCCACCTTTGCAATATGCTCAGCATCAGCTTCTGGTATAACTGAAAGAAGTGAAGTTAAAAAATTCAAATGTCTTAATGTACCATTCAAGCTTCCCGTGTGCAAAGCAAACCCCTTCGTTCAAACCACCCCCAAGAAAATATCAGGAAGACACATTTTTCCAAAATAGCAATTCAAGAAGCAGAGACATTGCAGAACACCCTAGTTTGATTAATTAAAACCAACCTGTTTGTTTGGCAGGGAAATTAGTCACCTTATTCCCTTTGTTACAAAATTGTGGCTGTAAATCCCTAAGAATCCAATTAATGGCATACAATGTTTTTTTGTGGAGCGAAACCGGCAACCAACGAAGACTCTCATTAATTCCTCCCCTAGGCCTAGTGACTCTCTGCACAAGCATAACATGAGTGTAAAAAAAGCGCATCTTCTTTCAGAGATCAAGCTTTTCAAGATTGACACTATGATGATGCTTTGAATTGGCACATTGGAGTTAATCAGCACTTCACAAGAGCAAATGAGGTATGGAGAAAATTTCATAAATGAAACAATATAGACTTTTCAAGGAAAAACCCTAGGAGCTTTTCTTTTAGAAGTCGATCAATACTTTAGGTGGAGAAATGTTTCGCAAAGCATGGATATCAATTTCTCGCATCACCAGTAAAGTTTTTCAGTACATTTTAAGAGAAACTATAGTATAAGCATTGCATGATTGCATCTTAACCATAAACTTAACCATAAACTTTGTGATTACTAACGTGATAGTATAAGCATTGCATCTTAATTCTCTGGAATTAAATAAGACAAACTATAAGCACATTTAATATGTAAATCAGTTCCTCACCAAATTTGTCATACTTCGTACTGTACTAGTGATAATCACATTGATGAAATTTGTAATAAAGCTTTGTTGGTCACATCAGAAAACTGCTTGCCCACAGAGAATTTGAATACTCAAATTAAGATGTAAAGGAAAAAGTTTCACCAGTCCCATCATATGAGGAGGACTAGATCTCAAACTTGACCGAGTACTGACTATGTGATTAAGTGTTAGATTTTTTTTGGAAGGGACTTTTTTATTGTACTTCGGGTTGGGTTGTTTCACATCTTTGTTTTTCTCCTCTTGTTACTTTTTTGTTCATTTTCCTTTTTTTGTTTTTCTTTTTTTCTTCTTGCTTCTTTCCTTCCATGTAACCTTCTTGGTTCTTTCATTAATAAAATTTTCACTTTGTTCAAATAATAAAAAATAAATAAAGAAAGTGATAATCACATTGAAGTTGATCGGCACGTTATACAAGAGAAAATTACTACTAGAGACATCATCACTTCCTTTTTTGGGTTCAAAATGATCATTTAGAAGATGTTTGTAGACTTTGTACTAAGCCTACGACCACCCGAGAGATACCATCTGTTATCTATACATTTAAGTTTTGCATCTCTTTATAATCACTAAATTATCAAATAATCAAATGGGGGGAAATCTAAAGCTTTTGTCTTACAACTTGACCCAAACTTTCGGTGATGAAATGTTTCGCAGAAGATGGAATTATGGAAAGCAATCTCTTGCATCATCGGTAAAAAATCAATTTTCAATACAGTCTTCACGATACACTTCGAGGCCGTTTGGCAACACTGTTTTTCGTCTTATCAGGCTTATTAGCCAACTTTTTCACCAATCACATAACTTTTGCTTTCACGCACTGAATTGTGTAATAAGCAGAAAAAGTAAGGTTGAAGTTACTTTTCTAGCTGTATTGGCTGAAGTTACTGTAGATGACCATTTTAGCTATTTTTACATATAATTTTTCCCTTATTTTATTAATAAAATATATTTTAAAATTATTTATTTCTTAAATCAGCAGTATCAGCCAATGCAGCCACTTCAGCCAGAACTTCATAAGTTTCAGCAGAATCAGCCAATCCAGCCGATTTTCGTGCTACCAAACAGGCTCTTCATAATTAGTAAAGTGATAGAATAAGAATTGCATAGTATTGCTCCTCAATCAACGAAAACAAACTATCAGCACACTTCATATGTAAATCAGTTCCTTACAAAAAGTTTCAATACCTTGTGATGTTAGTTCATAATTACTGCGGAGTACTTTGTACTGTACTTGTGCAATCATATGAGATACTAGCTATACTGGTAAATAACGAATGGACTTGTAAGAATTTAAATTCAGCTCAGTTAAAATGCAACACAAGACACCAAATTAAAAATTCAAGGAAGAAATCAAATGCAATGCATTAAAGAAACAGAGGATCTTACATAGAGAGTATGCCGATGTGATAGGCCTAGAGCTCGAAGTAAACCGATGCACTGATTTTCTGCGCCGGCGATGCCGTTTCCGATCACCACTGCTCTGCTAACGGTTCGCATAGAGTCGGCGGTTTAAAAATATGATTGACTGGGCTTTGAAAATTGGGCGGGTTTTGTGATAACTGATTGACCGGATAACCCGGCCCATTTTGATACCCATCCGCTTAATTTAGGCCTTTAGCCTCCACAGTACACACTTCGACATTAGAATCGGCTGGAAGACGCGCGCCCTCGCGTACAGAGCTCATTCGCCAGGTTTGTGGAACGCGCGCATTTGTAGATGTCGCAGAACACGGAAGGAGGACCGCCGGAGGTCACACTGATGACCTCAATGGGTTCTTTTACAGTTGAGGTAGTTCTCTTCTTCTTCAACAGCACCTCATAGAAATTTCAGTTTTTGTGAGAACTTATTCATGAAATAAATGAAAAATTAATCAGATGTACACCAAACACGCGCCGAGAACCTGCCGGAACTTCATTGAGCTTGCTCGGAGTGGTTACTATAACAACGTTAAGTTCCATAGGATCATCAAGGTGCTTCTTTTCTTTCGCTGAACGATGTCTCATTAAAAAATGTATCATTAACATATATACAGACGTAATGCTTAATATATTAGGGCTACTTCCATTTTTAATTTACGGTTGTGTGACTATGCCATGTGCTGTACTGCTATGGAGTAGGATTTCATTGTGCAAGGTGGCGATCCAACTGGTACCGGAAGAGGAGGACAATCCATTTACGGGTATTCTTTCTTTCCATGGCCCTTTCTTCATCTTTTCTATATATGTTTCTGGTCACTAACATAGTAACATATATATGCAAGTTTTGTATATACTGAAGCTTCTCTATTGTCAAGTCATGATTCAACTTACGGGGAATAGTTTACTTGAAATTACTTCTGCTGAGGCGTGGTTATGCTTACAAATAGTTATGATAATTGAAACCCTTGATTGAAATGTTCAAGCTTGATACACCGCTGCCACGTCATAGCACACGTGAACCCATGATGAATCCCAGGTCTTATGACACCAACACTTACGTTAATGCCCTGCACACTTGGACTGAGGGAGCTGGAAGTTACTGCACGTGAAAGGAGCTGCTGCAACTTATTATTTAATTACTTATTACTATATGTCTTTTGTAATTGTTGGTTATTGTCCTTTTAGTATGGCTATAAATAAGGGGAGTGTGTGAGTGGTTTTATCCATCTCCACCACCCACTAAGCCAGTATATTGGAAGTTAGAAGCTGTATAAGAACGGTGCCATGTTCAGAGAAAAAGGGCATGAAATGAATATCCTCCTTCTTGCCATCCCTTATCTGTCTTCTTCTCAATATTTCTCTTCTTCATACTGTCCTGGGTTATCAATTGGTATCAAAGCCAATGACTACCCGGAACCAATCCAACACAGAATTCCGTAATGAAACAGCCGAAGCCTTAGCCCGACATGCCTAGCAATTTGATCAAATCAACCAACGCTTCGACAGATGGGAAATCCGATTTGAGCAATTTGCCCGTGCCTTAGGCGAGAAGCTGTCACCGTCAGACGAAGACAATCCCTTTGCAGATGAGGAATCTACGGAATAACACCTTCAGGCTCACCGGATTCACGATCCCAAGATATTTTTTCCCAAGTTTGGTGGGGGAGACCCTACCGGGTGGATTTACCAGTCAGAACAATACTTTGAATATTACCAAGTTGCCGCTGACCAAAGACTACGACTCGCCGCCATCAACCTAGAAGGCTTAGCCCTTCAGTGGTATCGGTGGCTCATAAAACGCAAAGGACCAGTAGGATGGAAGGAGTTCACTCGGGCTTTGCGTGTCCGGTTTGGTCCTACCGAATTCGAAGATCCGTCAGAGGCCTTGTCTCACCTTAAACAAATGACCATAGTGGCTGCTTACCAGGAAGCCTTTGAGCAACTTTCCAATCAAGTGGACGACCTTCCGGAGTTTTAACTGGGAGTTTTATTGGAGGACTGCGCGATGACATACGCCTGGAACTCAAGACAAGGAAGCCACGCACTCTGGAGGAGGCTTTTGGTCTTGCACATTTGGTAGAAGAGAAACTCTCTGCGGCCAAGCCGGGATCATGGCGTTCCATCGGCAACAAAGCTACCCAACTGCCCATTACCACACGGCCGAATATGGCTGCTGGCATACTGGGACCGCCCCTGAATACGGATGATAGAAAACCTGTTGCAACTATCAAAAGGCTGCCATGGGAAGAGATGCAACGCAGGAGGTCCCTTGGCCTATGCTTCTCCTGCAACGAAACGTTTTCACCGGGGCATAGATGTCAGCAACCGAAACTCTTGCTACTGGAAACCAAAGACATTGAAAGGGAAGATGCCACGATTGAGGGACACCATGATGCTGCCCCAGACCCTGAGATCACGCTGCACTCCCTAACCGGTTGGACGGGACCACAAACTCTTCGTCTTCGTGCCACCATAGCGGGGCGGCCGCTGATTCTCCTTGTTGATAGTGGCTCCACGCACAACTTCATCCAAGACAAACTGGCCCAATCTCTTCAACTACCTATGACACGATCCACCGCATTTAATGTCAGAATAGCCAATGGGGAGCCTCTTCGTAGCCAAGGTAAGTTTGATGAGATTCCAGTAGTTATACAAGGTCATGTGTTCCCGGTTTCTTTCTTTGGCCTCCCTCTTGTTGGCATAGATGCTGTATTGGGAATTGAGTGGTTGAAAACGTTGAGGATTGTTACTAATGATTGGCAGCACCTTACTATGTCTTTTACGCATCAAGCCAAACCGATTACACTCGCGGGTATCAATCACCGCTCTACTGGTTTGTGTGCCTACACTGCAGCTGAAGTTGATGAAGGAGATTTATTCTTTTTGCTCTGTCTGATAAAAACCGATGCTGGTTCAACCATAGCACCTGAAATGTGGCTTCAACTGGAGCAGTTTCAGGACCTCTTCCAGGAACTCACTACTTTGCCACCACATCGCGAGATTGAGCACCAGATCATTCTCAAAGCGGGCGCTGAACCGATTAATGTCAGACCCTATCGTTATGCCCATTTCCAGAAGGAAGAAATTGAAAAACAAGTACATGACATGCTCACCACTGGGATTATTCGGCCTAGCACAAGCCCCTATTCCTCTCCGGTCTTACTAGTGAAGAAGAAGGATGAGACGTGGCGTTTTTGCACGGATTATAGACAACTCAACGCCATCACCATCAAGGACCGGTTTCCAATTCCTACCATTGAAGACACCTTAGACGAGCTGCACGGGGCCACTGTGTTCACGCGCCTTGATTTGCGTGCCGGCTACCATCAGGTACGGATGCGCGAATCTGATATCCCTAAGACAGCTTTTCGCACGCATAACGGCCATTACGAATAACTAGTAATGCCTTTTGGTTTATGCAACGCCCCGTCCACTTTCCAAGCCTTGATGAACACTATATTTCGTCCCTATCTCCGGAAATTTATATTAGTGTTCTTCGATGATATTCTCATTTATAGCCCCAACTGGACAGCCCATCTCCAACATGTACGGGTAGTGTTTTCAGTTTTGCAGGAACATGGATTTCGGCTTAAGTTTTCCAAATGTGCTTTTGGTCTCACAGAGTTGCTCTACCCGGGGCACATTATTTCTGCCACAGGTGTCAAGGTGGACCCCTCCAAAATTGATCCCATCCCACAGTGGCGGACACCAACTACTCCCACAGAGCTGCGTGGATTCCTGGGCTTAACCGGCTACTACAGGCGCTTTGTCTGTGGGTATGGCATTATTGCCAAACCTCTTACAACTCTACTCAAAAAGGGAAGGTTTCTATGGACTGCGGAAGCACAACAGGCCTTCGATCGACTCAAAACAGCCTTAACAACTCCAGTCCTCGCGATGCCCAATTTCCAAGCAACCTTCGTGGTTGAAACCGACGCATCAGGAGGGGGCATCGGGGCAGTCCTATCCCAGAATCAGCGTCCTATTGCATTCATGAGCAAGGCACTTTCCCCGAACAAAACCTCGTGGTCCATCTACGCAAAGGAAATGTTGGCCATCATCTATGCTATTCGGCTTTGGAGAGCGTATCTGTTAGGACAACATTTCATTATCCTCACTGATCAACAAAGTCTCAAGCATCTGCTCGAACAGCGGGTGGGCACCCCTGAACAGCAGAAATGGGTAACTCAGCTATCTGGCTATGATTATGAGATTCGCTACCGCACTGGGCCCTCCAATCGGGTGGCAGACGCTATCTCTCGCATCAGACATGACCAAGGGGTTTGCTTGGCTATTTTTACTACTACCAGTACTATCTGGTCCTCCATCATGGCAGAGTACGCACAGGATCCCCAACTCCGAGATTTCTCTAATCCCGCATCCGCTTTACCTGACGGGAGATATTCCAGACGCAATGGGTTACTCTACTATAAGGGACGAGTTATGGTCTCGTCCACTTCGTCCCTTCAACAGCAGCTCATTGGTGAAGCCCACTCCACTCTTACAGGTGGCCACTCCGGCATCTATCGCACCTATAAACGTCTTTCTCAACTTTTCTATTGGCCAGGCATGCTTAAAACAGTGGAACAATTTGTACGGGCCTGTGATGTTTGTCAACGCATCAAGGCTTCCACATTAAAACCTGCAGGTCTCGTTCAGCCCCTTCCAATACCGACCCAAATCTGGGAGGATCTGTCTATCGATTTCATTGACGGACTTCCCTCCTCCCAGGGGTACACCTCTATCTTGGTGGTGGTTGACCGCCTCAGCAAATACGCTCATTTTACAGCCCTCCGCCACCCTTATACAGCCAAGACAGTGGCAGAAACCTTCACTGCCACCATTGTCCGTTTGCATGGTATTCCAACTTCTATCCTCTCTGACAGGGACCCCCTTTTTCTAAGCAACTTCTGGCAGCAATTGTTCACGGCTTCGGACACTACTCTCAAGAGGTCTACTGCATACCACCCCCAAACTGATGGGCAAACGGAGGTTGTTAATCGTTGCCTCGAACAGTACCTTCGTAGCTTCGCCCATAATCATCCCACCAGATGGCTCACCTTTCTTCCATGGTCCGAATATTGGTACAATACTACGTATCACAACACCATGGGCATGACACCATTTCAGGCGGTTTATGGGCGTACTCCTCCTCCGCTTATCCCCTACCCTCCCGGGTCGTCAGTTGTTGATGAAGTAGACAAATGTTTGGTGGGCCGTGACCAGCTTTTAACTCAGCTCAAAACCACCCTCTCTGCAGCCGTGCAGCGCATGAAGGATACTGCAGATAAGCATCGCCGAGAGGTTAGCTTTTCTGTTGGCGATGAGGTATACTTGAAGCTTCAACCTTACCGTCAGCATTCGGTTTTCCGTCGGGCTTTCCATAAACTGAGTGCTCTGTATTATGGCCCCTTCAAGGTTCTTGCCCGGGTTGGCAACGTCGCCTACCGTCTTCAACTTCCGGAGGACTCCAAAATTCACCCCGTCTTTCATGTCTCACTTCTCCGTCGCGCCATTACAACTCATGCCACCTCTCCCACTTTGCCACCACTCAATTCTGATGGGGCCCCCATGCTTCAACCCATGAAGGTCCTTGATACTCGCACCATCATGCAGGGAGCTCACTCTTGCCGCCAAGTGCTCATCCAATGGTGCCACTTACCCCGTGAGGAGGCTACATGGGAAGATCTTACTGTCATTTGCACTCAGTTTCCTGCATTTGACCTTGGGGACAAGGTCAATCTTACTGGGGGGGGGGGGGGGTATTGATACACCGCTGCCACGTCATAGCACACGTGAACGCATGATGAATCCCAGGTTTTATGACACCAACACTTACGTTAATGCCCTGCACACTTGGACTGAGGGAGCTGGAAGTTACTGCACGTGAAAGGAGCTGCTGCAACTTATTATTTAATTACCTATTACTATATGTCTTTTGTAATTGTTGGTTATTGTCCTTCTAGTATGGCTATAAATAAGGGGAGTGTGTGAGTGGTTTTATCTATCTCCACCACCCACTAAGCCAGTATATTGGAAGTTAGAAGCTGTATAAGAACGGTGCCATGTTCTGAGAAAAAGGGCATGAAATGAATATCCTCCTTCTTGCCATCCCTTATATGTCTTCTTCTCAATATTTCTCTTCTTCATACTGTCCTGGGTTATCAAAGCTTTTGGCTTTCCCTTCCATTTCTGAAGTGTCAAGTTCTGGTTCTTCACTTCTTTGTAACACTTGTCATTCTGATGCATGTATTTAGCTAAACCATGTTTGGTAGTTCTAATAGTTGCTATTGGTGGTGTGTGATACAATGAACTTCAGAACTCCAATCTTCATTAAGTTAACTGAAGATGTATGAATTTTGGTGAGTAACCATAAAACTGGCTAAAGAGGTGGATGAGACTAGAATTTGAAATGGAGTGTTTTGCTATTGAAAATGAAAAATGGCATATCCATTTCTTGATTTTATTTTCCAAGATTCATATCGGGTGGGAATGCTGGTGTGTTTACTCAATGTTCTAGAAGGTGGCGTCTTAGCAAGGAGTGGAATGATGTTACTCTCTGATATTGTTTACCAACTTCTCCATCAATTTTGCAGTTCGAAATTTGAGGATGAGATTGACAAAGAATTGAAACATACTGGAGCAGGTATTCTATCCATGGCTAATGCAGGACCGAACTCAAATGGAAGTCAATTCTTTATTACATTAGCACCTGCACAATCGCTGGATGGTAAGTATAGTTCTGAAGGATACTTTGCCTCAACTCGGACTGAGTTATCTTAAACACATTTTGAACTTATCTGTCTCTGTGTGATTGGTTCTAATACAGTAATAGTTTACTCTGAAAGGCAAATTGGTGCCAAATATCCTATCATAACCTTGAACTTTAAAAGAAAGGCCGGTTGACGTTGTATTCTTCAAACATCTCATTTACCCCATAAAGTAACCCAAATATCTCGATAAAGATCTTGAAGGCTCGAACTTTCGTAAAAAACAAAAAAAATATTTTTGCAGGCGTCTCATAGACATATGCAATTTAAAATCGCCACTTTTAAGCCTACACATTTCATTTACGCAAATGCCTTGAACAAATAATTTGGGACAAAATGGGTGACAAGTTGCAAGTTTGCAATAGTATAAAGAACATAGTAAATCTCAAATAGTGAAGCAATTTCACTCATGTTTGAGCTTTTTCAGGTATTTTTTGTCACTGTAACCAGTTGTCCAGTCATATCACGTGTGTGTTCATCTACAACTATCTTCATGTACCCTATCATGTGTGTGTTTGAGGCTACCTGTGACTGCATATGTGGCGTGTACCGGGGGGTCTGTCATGGCTCGTGTTGAATGTTTAAACCATTATTGTGTTTTTCTTTTAGCTTATTGGGATTTTTTAGGAGCCTAGGATCGACTGGGGGATGGGTTTAAGTGCATAGTAATTATTGGGCATTCGCTAAGTATTCTTCTCACACTTCCGTACTTGCCCAACTGATAAGCCTTTTTTCTTTAAAAGAGATTACTCCCTCTGTCCCAGGTAAAGGTTCCTATTCGGTTTATGATATTTGACTGGTCTTTAAGTTAATTGATCTATGTCAATAATGGGATTATTTTTGGTAAATAAAATTTAAATATCCAGAAACTACATCGAAAATTTTATAAAGTCGCAAAAAAACTCAAATTTGATAAAAGTTGGAGGATATATGAAGTAAAAGAATAAGAACAATTAACGTTGACCGGAGAATAGTGGACAGAAACCTTTACCTGGGACGGAGGTAGTACCTTATATAAGAAATTATGAATTAAATAAAACATAGACAAAATGGAAAACAGGACCACATGTTTTTTCCCAGAAAAAGGAGTTCACTTTACTTGTTTTCCTCTAACCCAAAAAAGTTTAGGGCTTAGTGTTTTAGCATATACTACGTATGATTTAGCATTTGGAGTTTTAAGGTTTATCATTTACCATTTAGAATTTAGTGGTGGTGGGCATGGCCAGGTGGGGTGGGGGACGAGTAGCAACTGAGGCATGGCAGTGACATCTACAGAGGTCGGAGGCGGCCGGACAACTGTGGTTGCAGGCTTGCTAATTGTATTTTATAAGAGATAAATTGTGATAGTAATGTTATTTTTTGTCAATTCATTGAATCTTTACTCCTGGCCCCTGGGAATAAAACATTCTAGTCATATTAGGAAACACCTATGTTATCCTATAGCCACTAGAAATTATAATTAGGGTAAATGTGGTGATTTCAGCTTTGAACGTGTCTCTTGAGATAAATTGCTTTACATAGAACTAAAACTTAGTACGGAGTAATTTATTTAAACGTGTACGATAAATGGTATTTTTTTTACCATGGTAGTCAAAATCGCGATCCTGCACGTAGGATTGTACAATCATACGATCTGTACTGCTTCCTGTGATCCCGTTTCTGCTGAAGATCGTAAAATGACTTGGATCGATGGGATCACTGTGCAGAGTCGTAAACTCATGGAATCGATTCTGGATCTCGATTCAATAGCAACACACACTTATCGGTAAATTTTAAAAATTTCTGACTTCAGGAATCACCGGCAAAAAAAATCTCTAAAAAGTCGACACTTGTGGTGAACGATTTAGTTGCTTTACCACATCTGAATCTCTGCTCTGGCTTGTTTTCTTCTCTACAAATATTCTGTGTCGACCTCTATCTTTTGGTTCAACCACAGTCTTCATCTTTATCATTTGTGTCGACCTTATTCTTCAGTCTCGTTGTTATCTGGAGACGACCTCCAGAAACTAGCTATTGTTATGCACTTATTACTAATTTACGAAAATGTTTTAACGCCACTAGTTATTTTACTCTATTATTTCATCATAATATTTTTATTAATATAATCCGTACTATTTTAATTTACTGTTAGTGGTCAATACAGGTCTAAACATAATTAAATTAATATAATTTACGTACTATTTTATTTTATTTTATTTTACTATTAGTGCATCAAGTATTTTGTAATTGGTATTAAGTTCTAAACATCTTAGTATGATTATTAGTATGATTAATACTTGTAAGCTATATTCTTTTCTATTTCACCCATAAAATGATGAAGCTGCAGTTTGAGCTGATGGAAACATACTGATATATTGCTAGGCAAACATACCATATTTGGAAGAGTCTGTAGAGGAATGGAAATTGTGAAGAGACTCGGCAGCGTTCAAACTGATAACACAGATAGGTAAAACTCTTTTCTTGCTTACATTTATAACTCTGTCTCAATAATATTGTACATTGATTTGTTTTTATCCGCATCACTTCTATGTAGTATGTACATCTCCTTGATTTCATTATTACTTTAATGGGTAACTTTTTCTTGTTTATTACTTTAATAGAAAAAGCATCTTCATGCCAAGAAAACTGCATCATAAAAGCATCCCCCATTCATGTTTCACATAATGAGATTTTTATGATCCTCATTTGAAAAGTGTTTCCACATAGTTTGTGTTTTACATAATCTCACTCTATCACGAGATCATCAACACTAAATAATATGATTCCATATTTTGATCCCAAATAATCACTTTCACTCAATCATACTCCGGAACCAACACATCACCAACTTGATTATCTAATAAGCCTATTCTTAAGAATGGAGATGAACCAATTATTTTTCTGGGACCAGACCAAGCTGAGCGAGCAGCCACTGCTTTTCACTTTGTATTTCTTTTGACTTCAAAAAGCACTTTTTTCTATTCCATTTTTGCTGTAAATTGTTTCTATTTTAATGCAGACCTGTCCAAGATGTGAAGATACTAAAGGCCACCGTCAAAGATTGATGTCATGCTGCACTACAAAAGGGCCGTCAATCTTTTCTCGCCCGTCATTGAAAACCATCAAAGACACCATCTTTAGCCTGTGGCTCAAATTGTTGTATTGCAGCCGATTGATATAATTTGACGGATGGGATGACTAAGCTTTATGTTTTAATGCATGGGATTCTTTAGATTTACTCCCGTCATAAACTAGATCCACTTGTAGAATGGACGAGGAATTGACCGAGCCAAGTGATCAGGTCAAGGGTTATACAAAAGACTAAGAATATCAAATTCGAAAAAATATCACTATGGTATATAATATAATAATAACCTAATAATAAGAATGTTTCATAAAAATGAAAACAGATATATTCTTAAATATAGGTTGAAACTTCAAACTTTAAAGCCCTTTTAGGGCTGAGAATACTCTCAGGTTGAATGGATCTTACTTCTTTGGAATAATTTTTGTTTGAACTATGTATTGCATGAGATACTGAACTACTGAATTGAACCAAGTATATCATGTCATAATCCGTATTATTTAATTATCCTTTATGAAAGTAAGCTTGTAATATTTTAGTTCAAAGAACCTCAAACATTAAAAATATTATATTGAGTTTTATGAGGGTGAGTGAGTAACTCAGGACAAATAAAACATTCATGAATATTTAATTGAGAATGAACTACTCAAAAAAGGGTGAAAAATAAGAATGAATCAAGAACAATGACAGTACGATAAGGGAGTTATGAAATGGAGGCACATTAACCTATGTTTCGGGAGAGAGATATTATATCTTTATATAATACTCCTTCCGTCCCTTAAAACTTTGTCATCTTTCCTTTTTGGAACGTCCCAAAAAACTTTGGGACGAATATTTTATGGTTCATGTTATTTCTCTCTCCTCTGTACAAATTTCAACCACACGGTTTTTACTTTATTATTCTCCGTGTCGGTCAAACATGACAAAGTTTTAAGGGACGAAGGTAGTATAAAGGAATTGGGTGGACAATTGGATTTCTCCAATTATTCCCGCCTATTCCCGCATTGAATCATTCCTCAAGTCATAACATTAAGTTAAGTTATCTTTATATCTTTACATAATATAAAGGAATTTGGTGGACAAATGGATTTCTCCAATTATTCACGTCTATTTCTGCATTAAATCATTTTTCAAGTCATAACATTAAATTAAGTAATTTATTATATATGGTAAGCAATGCATAATACTAAAGGAGATGCTTGAATGTGAGATGCATGCTTGACCAACGCATGAGACCTAAATGATCGAGGTACAGTAACTTTTTTTACTGAAATTGAGCTACAATCACTTAGTATATCAATTTTATAATAATTTAATCAAAATAGGCATACAATTCAATCCGCTACAAGAAAATTGAGTTTTTGGGATGAACAATTTTCGCCCAACGTTAAATTTACTTGAATTATAATGAAGATATGCGTTTTATGGACTATATATATTGTCGTACCACATGTATGCGATCACAAGGGTAAATACACATAAAATTTGAATAAATTAAGGAGTTCATTATCATCGTCCATAATTACTTGAATCCAATTACAATTCTAGAAAATTATTCAAATCCGTAATTACGTACATAGAATATCTCATCTTTACAATTTATAGAATCAATGGATATAAAAAATAGCCAAAATTAGGGATCGAAAAAAGCCCACTATATTACCCGGAAATTACCTGTAAGGCATCAGGTCATGAAAATTAGGGACCGAAAAAAGCCCACTATATTCGGTCCGAGTCGGGTTTTTTGTAGCCCGGGTTCGGGTTGGGTCGGTTAAAGCCTGAATGTGAAATCACTCATTTTTCTTTTATATTTTAAAATCTATTTTCAAATAAAATTTATAAAAAGTACAAGCCACAAATAAAATTAATAAAAATCACAAATATTAGTCTCCAAAATCACCAAGAATTCAAATCCAAAGAAGACAATTATCATAATATTTTGTTTAAGATGCATAAAAATAAGTAATATAGGTGTTGTAAAAATGATATGAAATAAAATTTAGGGATAAAAATGTAACTAAAGTTACTATAAATATGTTTTCATGGTCATTACGGTAAATAAATTGAACATATTTGTAGTCACTAAAAGTTATTAAGTCATTTTTCGTCCATCATGATTATAATCATAAATTAGGAATTAATTTATAAATTATATTGGTATATTATATTGATTTTATATTAAGGCTAATTGTTTCGGGTTTTATCGGTCCGGGCCGGGTTATAGATTTTAGGGCCCGCTAAAGAGCCCGATGTTTCGGGTTCGGTCCGATTTTTTTATTCGGGCCGGTCAAAAAGAAAAAACCGGACCGATATCATAATTAGGGCCGGGTCAGGGCCGGTTTCCGGGTTTCGGTTCGGGTTTTCCCACCCCTAGCCAGAATTTACAAAAATTAAGTGGATAAAAATGTAGATACAAGAACAACATAAAAAAGTAAAAAAATAGTTTCCTCAATTAAAAAAAAAACATACTTTTTAGTCTAAAAAATGTTATTTCTTTTATAAAATAAAACTCATTGAGTAACAAATTTATATCAAAAATACTAGGGTGAGCACATTGGTTTCAATTTGGTTTTAATATCAATTCGATTCGGTTTGAAACAGATCGGAATCATACTATGTTTTGGTTTAGTTCGGATTAAATCACTTCGTTACAATTTGAATTTGTTATGTTTAAAAACATATTAAAAAATTATTGACTATTTGAGTTCAGCTCGACCTTATTCAATTTCTCACGGTCTCAATTAGTTTTAGTTTGATTTAATTTGATTTGAACGACATACCACTAAATTCAAACGAAATTGCGTATGATTTGATTTCGGTTCAATTTGGTACAATTTGGTTTACTTAAACCGAACCGGTTTGCTGACCCCCTAAAAACACTCATGAGAGCTCATTCTCTCATAAGATAAAAACTAATGTAAATTTTTCTTAACCTTTTTCTTTATGTATCCATTTTTTTTATCAAATTTGAGTTTTTGCGACTTTACAAGACTTTTAATGTAATTTTTGAATATATAAATTTTATTTGCTAAAAATAATTTCACTATTAAAAAGGATCACTTAAGGTTATGACCTGTCAAATATCGTAAACACAACTGAGACGTTACCCGGGCCGAAGGTAGTATACAATATTCATTCAATCTCTTTTTAAGTTGAATAATGTGAGTTGATTTTTCCCGTGCAACGCACGGGTTCATTGTCTAGTTATCAATAGTAAGAGTACGTTTAGTCAAACTCAAATGGGTTGAATTGATTGATTTTGTTAAAATTTATGAAGTTCTGATTGAAATGACTGGATTGGTTGATTTTACCGAATTATGAAAATATTATATTTAAAATATATTTTATTAATAAAGTAAATAAAAAATCATATGAAAAAATAGTTAAAATGGTTCTCTATATATAGTAACTTCAGCCAATCAAGCTAGAAAAGTAATTTCAACTTAACTTAATTTGATTATTAAATAACTTAGCGCGTGAAATCAAAAGCTTTATTTTTAATACAAAGTTGAGTGAATCACATAATCACCAAACGGGCTCTAAGTAAAGTTGTTCTTGAAAATGTATTTTACAATGAAAGAAAAGTGTGTATTTAATTTACAGGAAAAAATGTAAACGCAACTAGACACTTAGAGCATCTCCAATGCTATAGTGTGCATAGTGCACATGTGGTATGAAAAATAACCATATAAATATTAACAAATAAACTATATCTCTCCTTATTTGAATGATTTTATACAATTTTGGTAAGTTTTCCCCTGCAATGTCAATATCTAGACGGTCTCCTTGACATTGTGAAGAAAAACTTACCAAAACTGCATAAAATCATTCAAATAAGGAGATAAAAAATTTATTTACTAATATTTATGCGGCTATCTCTCATGCCACATGTGCATCGTGCATATTGTAGCATTGGAGATGCTCTTAGACTAGGAGGGAAAGAGAACACATTAATGCTGTTTTATTTTGGGAAAACACATTAATGCTATTGAATAAAATAACTAGTAATGTACTATCGTATAATAATATATTAAGTCACCTCCAAATATTAAATAAAACTATAACTTCACATAGAACAAAATCTAAATAACACGTTTACACTTTCATCTACAACAAGTTAATGTCTTCTCCATTAAGTCAAAAATAAAAAAGAAAAATAAAAAAAATAAAGGGAAAAATGGACTCTTTTAGATTTAGTTATTTGAGAAGAAAACGATGACTATATTGATCAATATGAGTATGTTAGTTTGAAGAAAATAATAAACTATAAGAGCAAATGAGTGAAAGTGGAGTGATGGATCGGGTGATGGATGATACATTGTCCAACATATTTGTGTTATACTACTATATAGCAGATGAGTGAAAGTGGATGATCCTATTCACTTAAGATATATAGCTCATATTTGTGTTATATTTTTTAAATGATGGAAGAAATTAAACTCGTTGAATGAATGTGATTAAGTGATTGTATTGTAAAGGTTGTTTATGAGAAGAAAAAAAATATTAAAGTAGATTTGTTTTTTAAATTTTATTGAATAAAGGTACGTAACTTTTTGGAGTAAAATGGTGGTTGAGAATAGAATGAATCAAACCACATCCATACCCGCACGGGTAGCTCAGTTGGTCGAGTGGTGGGAAAATTATTGGACCAAATGACCAAGGTTCGAAATCCGCAGCAGCCGTGTGGAGGTTACAGAACCTGAAATAAGGCCGGACCTCTGATGCGCACGTGTATAAGGCCTACCGCCACTTTGCTGACTGAGTCACCGTGATTAACCTCTCCACCATCCTGTCGGGTCGGGGTGGGAGGCTCCTGAGGTGGAAGATTCCACCTTTTGGACCAAATCAAACCACATACATTCCAACTTCAAAATAATACTCGGCACTGAACACCACCCTCTATTTGAGCAACAATTTCAGTCAAACTATCATCTACCTTGTATAAGAAAAAAGTAATGCACATATTTATTGACATAACTTTCAGGTATTTTCCTAATTCAATTTTTTTTGATCGAAAGTAACAATTGTACTACTTTTTAATTTTTTATTATTCACTCGGTTTAGGTACATAGTATTCTCGAATGTCACTTATCAAATACTTAAATATGATCTTTCTAACTGTCTCATTTATTAATTTCTTGGATGTGGTATACTCGTATTTAGATGACAAAATTGCTTAATTTTACTTATACTCCATTCGTTTCATTGGAATTTGCCAATTTTCCTTTTTTGGTTGTCCTCAAAAACTTTGTCACTTTCCTATTAAAGCAACTTTGCCACAAATTTCAACCAGACAGTTTTTACTACTCTTATTTTTCACCTACTTTGCACTTGGCAAAATCCACCGGGACGGAGGTAGTAGTTTTTTTATAAAAGTATAACATTCAAATGTTATCCTAGAGGCTAATATATTTGTACTGTCTCAGTCTCATTAAATGTCAGGACCGGGCCTGTAACAACACCATCATAAATTAAATTGGAATTAAAGAAGATTAAAAAGAAATCAATAACCCATACGTATACAACAAATGTAATGAGAAAACCATTACATTGGAGATGGTGAAATGCTATGAGATTGGTAAGCCTCTACTTTTCGTCCATTTAGGGGTTGCACTGGCCTTGCATTCTTCGTGCTTCCATTGTCCATTGGACGTTGTAAAGTTTCGACTTGATCCATTGTAATTGTGCGAAACTGAAGCATCAAGCATGTACATATATAGTCCATGCATTTTTAGTAGAATTTTACCAATGCAAAAATTATCAACTTAGAGAAACAAATGAATAAACAATTTAGAAAAAACTAAGGAAGTTTTTTGTTTGATTAATTTCAATCTGAGATCACACCAAACTTAGACAATAGCAATACACGTCAAAAACTAGCGGACTAGACTTATATAATACTCCCTCCGGGTCTGGAAGATCTTTACACTTTCCATTTTTGTTAGTACCACAATTATCTTTACACTTTTTATTTGCCTTACAAATCTATACAAAACAGTACCAAACAGTGTCAAACAGTACCAAACAGTGTTAAACTCCTTAATATTTGTGAAGTCAAAGTGTAAAGATCTTTCAGAATCGGAGGGAGTAATAAAATACACATATGTTAAATATTTACCATACTAGACTAGAAAATTTTAGGCTAAAGGGTCAAATAGGTACATGAACTAACTTAAAGTATTCAATTAGCCCCTTATATAGGAGGTTCTGCCCGACCGTCGCCAATTGGGGCGGTTCCCGGTAACATTTTTTGATGAAATTTTTTGAGCATCTTCTTCATTAAGTCTAGTTTAGGCATATCAAATATCAGCTAAAAATTAAATCGGGAAGGCAGTCAAATGATTTTCCGAAATGTACTGCGCTGTTTAACTGCGCAGTTATCTTCAAAAAATCATTTGACTGCATTCCCGGTTGAATTTTTAGCTGAAATTTGGTATGAGTAAACTAGACTTAATGAAGAGGATTCTAAAAAAATATCATTAAAAAATTCCACCGTGAATTTCACCAATTGGCGATGGCCGTGCAGAACCTCTATATAATGGGCTAATTGAACACTTTAAGTTAGTTCATGTACCTATTTGACCTTTTAGTCAAAATTTTAAAACATACTAAATCATGTAAGACTTTTATATCTAATTATGCATGTGAAAGCTTTAAGTTTTATTTTTATGAAAATGTTGTTGGTAAAGAATGATCTCATATATATTAATTTTGTATTATAAATAGTTTCATATCAAAGTTTAATTGACAAAAAGTTTAAAATGTCAAAAATATTAAGGTGAGAAATGGAGGTATCATCAATCTTGTACATAGGCACGTACGTACCTTTTCTATGACAATCCAAGTAACATCTTCTGTGCATGGAGGAGTGGTTAAAGAGCCTTCATAAGTGTAATATCTATCGATATTAGTAAATTCTCTTAAAAGATTTTGAATATGACGAATATTATTGTTTCCCAATGCAACTTCAGGTGGATGTTGGGTCGGTGACCTTTTTGAGAGCTGACTCAAGTCTTGTTCTAGCTGCATGTTTACACAGGATATATATGATCTATTGATCCATCATCATAACCTTGCTCACTATCTAACATCATTTGGCTAGACAATAAAATTGCAGATTTAGAACGAGTTCGGTAATATCAAAATCGGCTGAATCAATTTATTGCGTTGAAACTTATGAAATTCTAATTAAAATAACTGAATGAGTTGATTCTGTTAATTTACTACCTCCGTTCCGATTTTAACTTCCAAATGCGTTTGACACAAAGTTTAAGATAGTGGATATTGTGTGGTGGAGAGTTGTGCAGAGGAGAGAGAAATGTGTACAAAATGTTGTGAACCACAAATTTTTTACCAAAAAGGGAAAGTGGAAGTTTTAATTGGAACGGACGAAAAAGGAAAGTTGGAAGTTTATTTAGGAACGGAGGGAGTATAAATTTTGTATTTAAAATATACTACGTATTACATTAGTAAAGTAAAGAAAAAATTATATGTGAAAATAGCTAAAATAGTCATCTACGGTAACTTCAACCAATACAGCTAAAAAAGTAATTCAACCTTACTTTTTGATATTATTACACAATTCAGCGTGAGAAATCAAAAGTTACGTTGTTTAGTGAAAAGTTGACTGATAAGCTCGATAAACCGAAAACATGTTACCAACCGACCTCTTAGTTTGGTAACTTTCGGTGGTGTCCGATAGTATATAACTTTATTTACTTGAAGATGAGTCCTATAACTAATAAATTTAGCCAAATAAAAGACTTTTTTACGAGTATGATAGGTTTAATTTTCATCGACAAGCATAACGTTCAATGTAAAAGCCCTTAAAATGCATGGAGATATTTATTTGTTACAACATGACGGGAGCATTCTATACGGTGATTAAAATTACTGAAGTAACAAAAGTTACTCAAGTTACTTTTTGGGGATGTACTGAATATGGATTGTGGTGAATTTTTTTTAATTCGTGGACTTTTAAATAAGTTAATGGACTTTAAAATCCATAAACTTTTTTTATGAATGAATTATATGGACTTTTAAATCCATGGATAAGTTTATTGACTTTCAAAAAGTACATAGATTTTTAAATGCGAACCACCACTGCTGGTTGTCGAAATTTTCACCTAGACCGCCGCTACCGATCTGCTCGTCCGCCTCGTCACTTGAGTTCCTCGTTGTCATCATCGGACTGATCCGCCACCAACAAAGTAGATTTGGTTATGCAAGGGAATTATAGACAATTACTTATATTAATTAATTAAATTAGGGGTGAATATGTAATATTTAGTCCTATTTAAGGAAAATCAAACATATGATCATACTTTAAGAAGAATGCTACTCTGTATGTTTTAGTCCTACCCTGAATAATTTCCTCTGTATAATACAGAGTATGATAAGAAACAAATAGACAAACAAACAAACAAACAAACAAACAAATAAATAAATAAATGAAACAAATGTAATTCATATAGCAACACAAAGTTCTACAAGAATAAATGAAATATAAAAATCCAAATTTATTTTTATTAAAAAAACTCAAAGTTTCAAGAATGCTCAAGAATTTTGGTCATTTTATTAATGAGTAAGAACATTAATCGTTACACTCATTGCTACATGTGGTACAAGCACAGTTGCAATCGAGTTTATCTTCTTAATAATTGTTTTCTTTTCATTTCTATCTTGTAAAATTTTGTGTACTTATTTACGGTTATATATTTATTAATTTGAAATTATATTTTTATGTGTTAGCGATTTAACGATGAAAGAAAGTAATAGTTAAAATATTTATTTTCTTAATGGTTAAGTGACGACGTATCAGAATTGCACTAATGTAATATTATTGATTCTTATATCAGTTCTTCTAGAGACTTCTAGAATCGAACCAGTATGGGATTAACGAATCGAGGGGGGTGGGGCAAGCTGAAGAAGAAAAAGAATGGAAGGAGAGGGGTGGAGCGAGCTAGGCTGAAGAAGAATGATCGAAGGAGAAGGGGTGACTTGGCTAAAGAAGAGGAGAGTTGGCGGGGTGGGGTGGGGGACGGGATGAAGAACCGATACAAGAAAAGTCCACGAAAATCTTTAGTGAGGAGAAGAGACCATCGAAGAGAATTAATGTACTAAAAATGAGTTAAAAGTCCACGAGAATCCATGATTTTAAAAATTCATAAAAATGAACGGAACTTTGAATATTGCTAGACTTTTATAGACTTTTAAAAGTCTACATTGAATACACCTAGACTTTTGTAGACTTTTAAAAGTTCACATTGAATACACCTAAATTTTTAAAATCCATGAACTTTTAAAATTTTGCCACTAATTCCTAATACAATACACCCCAAAATTAAAATTCAAATCTCCAAACGAGACCAATTTATGTCAAATTATAATTACTTAATTATTTACCTCTGCAATAATGGGGTCAGATTGGCCAAATCGAAACATAATTGCAACCACAACCATGCTATTATGGGGAGATTTGAACGGTAGGTGAAGCTCACATGCAAACCTACAAGATAATACGGAGTAATAATTCACAAAATTATATGCATGCTTATAAAGAAAATATTGCAAATTTGCCGTGCTTATACCGTGGAACCGGTGCATGATGAACACCATCCATCCTTTGTTATTTTTTATTTTTCTTTTTTTTTTAAATTGTTAATAATTTTTTTATTTTTGATCCGATTTTTATAAAATTTATATCAATTTTTTTTATTTTTCATGATCTTTCAAATGAGCTCAATATTGCCTATGTAAATTTTATTTTTTACATTCATACATTTTTTTGTAATATATTTTTATATGCATACACTTTTTCTATAATATATTTTTTATCACTTTTATATGTTTTTAGAGGTTTTTAAGATATTGAGTTTGTTTATTTTGCTTCTAGCTTGGAGTTACATTTGATAATATACGAAGTTACATCATCTTATACTCCAGTTACAAGTTATTATATGTGAGTTACATCTTGTTATGTGTGAGTTACATCTTGCTATACACGAGTTACATACTTTTATGCGCGAGTTACATGTAATTATGTGTGAGTTACATCTTGTTATGTGTGAGTTACATCTTGTTATACACGAGTTACATACTTTTATGCGCGAGTTACATGTAATTATGTATGAGTTATATCTAATTATTTGTGATTTTTTAATTATCTTTATCTTGAACTAATTCAATTATAACTGAATTAATTTTTTTCTTTGCCAATTTAATACAAAATTTTATTAATCCACATAAAATAAGTATATTATATTTCGTATTCATACATTATTTTTCAAATGATAAAAATGAATAATGTAGCAGGGGTTTATTTCATGGTGTAACTCACATACATTAAGATGTAACTCGCGTATATTAAGATGTAACTCGTGTACAATAAGATGTAACTCGCGCAGAAGAAGATGTAACTTCATGATATATTATCAAATGTAACTTCAAAATAATTTATTAAAATTACATAAACAATATTGGTCTCATTTGATAGATCATGAAAAATATAAAAAAAATTGATGTAAAATTTATAAAAATCGGATATCAAATAAAAAAGTTATTACAATTTTTAACAATAAAAGAAATAAAAAATAATGTATGCTGCATCGTTTTGGGATCGGGCGCACCATTCTCATGGTGCGCCGATCCCAGGATATAAATTGCCCAAATTTAATATGGAGTACTTAGTAAAAGTAGTAAAAGGTAGGTTGTATTATAAGCCCAAGACGGATTACTATTAATTACTAATTAGTGTCTCCGAAAATGAAATGTATTCAGTTCGATATTAGGGGGTTAATAATTTTAATTTTTATGACTAAATAAATTATATTTTTTGGAAAACAAGAATGACAGTTTTATTAATTTATAGAAATGCGTTACGTTTTTGTTTTATTTAATGAAGCTTTTCTTATTTGTGTGCAGGTATGAATATTTCAGTTGGTATAACAAAACTAAAATATTCTTCAATATACATAGAAGTTTTTGTGGCCGGATTGATGAAGTTTAATTTTTAATTAGATTGGTTTACAATCATAATTTGACGATTGTAAACTATATAATTAAATATAAATTGTTTAAAAAATAGAGAAGATTTTGTAAGTAGGAGTAAAACACAAAATATTTTCGGTAATAGGATCGGAGTGTCATTTTCTTTCTTAAAGTAAGATTGATTCACTTTTTAAAAATGTTTTTATTGTTAATAGCTAGGACTTTAAGCCCCATGTTGAGAAGAAAGACATACTTGGTTGCTTCAATTTGTAGGCTATGTTTGGCAAACATAAGTTTCTGTCTTCTAGCTTTTGTACTGCTCAAAAAGTCTCTAAAAGTTTCTACTTATATGTTTGCATGCCAATTTTTAAGTGCTTTTCAAAAATTAAAAGATCTTTTTTGGGATGCTACATGGAGTAGCAGCTGAAAAAAGTCCGTGACTTTTAGTATTAATTAGTCCTAACAGCTTGTGTACCAAATCGAACTAAATCAAACAGTCGGCTTTTTACCAAACAGCTACCACATTTTCTTTTTAAGATATTTTCAGTTACTAAAAGCTAACAGTTATTAAAAAGCTCACAAAAGTATCTTTTCAGCTAGTTGTGCCAAACATACCCGTAGTGTAATTGTTTTGCTCCTATTTTACGCAATTATTTAAGTAAATGCATAGTATATATGCTGTCGAAACTACATCAAAGACTGGGTAACATTTTAGTGCGTAAACTTTTAAAGCACAACAAGAAACTAATTACGTATTGGCAAACTTTTATAGCCCCATGCCCCCATCCCATACTACTTTTTTGTTCAACTATTTAGTGTAATCCTTTGCCACGACGTTTCTTGTTTGGCTCATTCGGTATTACTTTTGACCTAATATAACTACATAACAAATTACGAGATTGACACGAATTTGACACGGATTGATCAATGATTTTGTGTCAAACTGTTTTTGAAACAAATTTGCCAAATCTTTTATGAGTTTTAGCGAATCTCTGTCAATCCCGTTTTTTATAGTGTATGATCAATTTGTAGCCCAACAAACTCAAATTTCTGAATATAGATCTTTAAAAAGTTTGAGTGAAAAAGAGAGCTAACGAGTTGGTGAAGTGTTCAGAAGGGGCATGCCAATGCAATTGTGACAAAGTGTAAATGGTACCGTGAAGGACCAACGATCCTCCTCCGCCTCCTCCATTATAACGTAACTGCATGCACAAATTCAACCTAATTAATTTTTGGAATTTTATCAATTCACGAGCCGAAAGATAGATGAATTATCAATTCGGTACCTGAAAGATGAGATCTATCAGTATAGGACCCGAATGATGAAAAACTATCGATCTAGGACCTAAAATTTCACAAATTTTGATTTATTTAATTTTTTTATTAATTTCATTGCTAATTTTGACAAACTTTTCTTCACAAAAGTTTATTAGTTTCACGAAATAAATAATATTTAAAAATTTTAAAATACAAAATTAATAAAATTTCGGACAGCTTAGGTCCTAAATTGATAATTTTCAATCATTCAAGTCCTAAATTGATAGTTTCCTATCATTCGGGTCGTATATCGATACATTTCATTTTTCAGGTCCCGGATTGATAATTCATCTATCTTTCGGGTCCTGAATTGATAAAATTCCTTAATTTTTAGATCTCCTTGATTGAATTCTTTGAAAAAACTAATATTACTTCCGTCCCAAATTGATTTATAAATTTTGACTTTTTTTGTCAACCAATTTCATTTTGTTTACTTAATTAGAATGTCAATTTTTGATTATATTCTAATTTGAAGTTTGCAATTTTGAAGAGATTTTTACGCAGTTTCTGAATATGTAAGTTTTTATTAATTATTATAATTTGAATTAATTATTAATATGGAGGGTTTAACTTTAACATTAGTTGACCAAGAAATGTTGAGTCTGCAAATCAATTTGGGCAGGAGGGTGCAATCCTTAACTATATACTCTGTACTTCCGTATATGTATATATAGCCTTACAGAATTTCGTTCAAACGAAACAATAGTCTCAACAGAAAAATGAGGATGAATCAAAATTTGAGAGTCGTGTATTATTTGGAATCAAAATGCGCACTGCTATAGATAAAAAACAGTTACATTTTTTTAATTAAAGTGGTTTTTTCCTACTATTGTACAGTGTGAAACTCAGACATGTGCATCATTCTCATTTTCTACCATATATATACACACATATTAGGGAGTGGATCAGGTGAGAAGTGCTCTTAGATTGAGAATTGTGAAGTTTAACTAATAGAGTAAAAACACGAACTTTTAACCAATAAACCATAACTTATAGACCCCGTCGAAAATAATTACGAAAATCCCACCACAAAAAATTAAGCCTGGAAACCTTGAAATTTTTTGGATGCGGTGACATTTTCGTAATTATGATGGAGAGCTTTATAAGTTACTCCCTCCGTCCCGGTCATTTCTTCCAATTTTCCTTTTTGGGCCGTCCCATTAATTCTTCCAACTTCCACTTTTGGAAAAAATATGGAGTTCACATTCATTCACTTTTTTCTTACACAACTACAACCATACATTTTCACTTTATTCCATCTACCTAAATTTGCGATACCGGTCAAAATTGGAAGAAATGACCGGGACAGAGGGAGTATGATTTATTGGTTATAAGTTCTTATATTCAGTCTATAAGTTTACTGCGTTGTAAGATTAGATGCAAATCCAATGGCTGAGATTGCTTCTCACTTCTCATTTTAAGGGGGACTTCTCACCTAATCTTTTCTCTCTCTATATATATATATAGAGAGAGAGAGGATCAGATGAGAAGTGCCCTTAGGCTGAGAACTGCGAAGTTTAACTTAGACTAAAAACACGAACTTTGAACTAATAAATCATAACTTATAGACCCCCTCGAAAATAATTACGAAAATGCCACCGCAAAAAATAACTCCAGAAACCTTCTTTTTTTTTTGACGTGGTGGCATTTTCGTAATTATGACGAAGAGCTTTATAAGTTATGATTTATTGGTTATAAGTTCGTATATTCAGTCTATAAGTTTACTGTGTTGTAAAATTAGATGCAAATCTAAGGGCTGAGATTACTTCTCACTTCTCATTTTAAGGGGACTTCTCACCTGATCTTCTCTCTCTCTCTCTCTCTCTCTCTCTATATATATATATATATATATATATATATATATATATATACACACGTATATAGGGAGCGGATCAGCTGAGAAGTGCCCTTAGGCTGAGAAGTTGAGAAGTCTAACTTATAAGCATAAAACACGAACTTTTAACCAAAAAATCATAACTTATAGACCCCCTCAAAAACACGAACTTTCTGCAAAAAAAAATTCCAGGTTTCTGGAGTTATTTTGACGCGGTGGCATTTTCGTAATTTTTTTGGAGGGGGTCTGTAAGTTATGATTTATTGGTTAAAAGTTCATGTTTTGAGCTTATAAGTTAGACTTCTCAGCTTATCAGCCTAAGGGGGACTTCTCACATGATCTTATATATATATATATATATATATATATATATATATATATATATATATGGTAAGGATCAAATGAGAATACCATCTTAGAAGAGAAATGAGAATGATTCTGGAGCGTTGGATTTGAGCATTGTGCATCATGTAAAACAGAAATGTGCATATAAAAAATTGGAAAATGTGCATTTCGTCTATGCAAAATTTTAAACGTAAATGTGCACATTAGAATTTTGCATTACTTTAACTATAAATTTGCAGTTTTGTGAAGGATAAAGTGCATCATTTTGGAGTGTTCTCATTTCTCACGTTAAGGAGTGTTCTCACCGGAACCGCACCCTATATATATATATATATATAGGGTGCGGTTCCAGTGAGAACGATGCTTAACGTGAGAACGTGAGAACGGTCACATTCAAATCAATGTGGTGCACAATGGAGTTATTCTATTGCACATTTTCGATTTGCTCGAATTAAGCCTATATTAAATAAACATGGTGACATTTTGGTAAATATGGTGAAAATGCGAAAATGTGCAATATACAAGCTTCGATGTGCAACACATTGGCGTAAATGTGGCGTTCTCACGTTCTCACGTTAAGCATTATTCTTATTTGATCCTATATATATATATATATATATAAAATGACTAGAAATTGAGAAAGCAAATTAAATATATTTACAAACCTCGACATGGTAGCCCATGTTAACCAATGTGGCATTGACTGAATCGGTAAATTGGATAGCCAAAGCCTTCAAATTAGGGTTTAAATGTGTGGGTATAGAAGAAAGATTAACTGGGGACTGAGATCTACCGGTGGAGCATAGGGCGTAATTCGGGCTTAAACTTGCCCAATGGCCAGGGCCGTTTGAGCCCGAATAACCGAACGCTACATCTTCAGAAAATACGGGTTTGATGAGCAAGCTAAAGACACCAACCACAAATAATACCAAATCCATCTATATATGATCAGCGACCTTTTCGTGCTATTTCAATTTCTACACCATTTTTATGAATGTGCACTTCATATATGTACTCCCTATATATATGTGACCCACGAATTGAAATCGTTATATATACTCCTTATATATGTACTCTTAATATAACAATAATAAAGTAGCCATAATCATTGTCCTTTTAATTAATAAAAGACACACCCATTTTCCTAATTTTTCCGCACAACAGGAAGGGTAGGAAAGAAAAGAATTACAAAAGGAAAAAGAGGGATTGAATAGACCTCCACAAAAGTGGATTCACATTGGGTTACGTTTTTTATTAAGAAAAATTTGATCTAATTAAGACTTAATGTTTTAAATTCCCTAAATAGGACTCCCTACTACCATGTTACCCCTAATATATCAAACCCTATCGATCTCTCCCGATCTCCGTCTCCTCTTCCGCGATCGCCCCATATCTCTCCCATGTCTGCAGGTCATCTTCGCTTCCCGCTCCACTGCTCAGGTCGACATATCTCCAGGTAAGTATTTCTTCTTCCTTCTTCTTTTCCTCCTTCTCCTTCTCCCTCTTATCCTTTTCCTTCTCTTCTGCTCTCTGCTCCTTTCTTCTTCAGTCATATTTTTTATTTAAAATTTTGGATTTGAAATTCAAGGCTCTATCAATTATTCGAAATTATTTCGGTCTAATTTTTTTGTTATGTTCATCTATCAACTTTTTTAAAAATTCCACATGATTGGCAATTTTTGGAGACATATTGGTAATTTTTTGGAGATGACAATATTATATGTTTGAAAGTTCCATGATTTTGTCATTTTTGACAAATGATGACATTTTTGCATCTAAAAATGTCATGTTGTAATCTTAAAAATGACATGTTTTTACATCTAAAAATGTCATGTTGTAATCTCAAAAATGACATGTTTTTGCATCTAAAAATGTCATGTTTTGTCTTTGATGTTATGACGATGGCAATTTCACCTGAAATTGATAAGATATTCTCCAGAGGAGTTAGACGATTCTCACTAGAAGGCGAGGTAAGCCATCTAGCATGATGTGCGTTTCTTGCCGGCTGTGTGCAACGGCGGTCTTGTCGATGTCAGCGATATCTCCTTGCTGGGTAGTGGCAGAAGCGGTGGTCTTGGCGATGATGACTGGCGCGGAGGTATTTTTGGTGTAGGGGGTCTGGAGGCTTTGTTGAAAGGCATCATCGAAGGGAGTGCAGCAGTGTTTTTTATTTTTATTTCATTAAGGGTAATATTGTCAGATTAGCTCTTTGTAGTCCTATTTGTGTCAAACAAAACATAGTGGTTCTATTTTTGCAATTCTACCTTCTTTTAATCCTATTTAGGAAATTCTCTCTTTTTTATTATATTTTTAATCATTGGTGAGGGCAGGCTCAGCCCAACCCGTAACAAATGGGTCTAATCAAATGTCCATATCTACCCGTAAAAGTGGCCGGGTAGTCTACTGGGCCACCCCACCTCTCATGCTCTATAATATTAAACAATTTAGAACATTTTAATTAAATAATGTTACAACATTTTAAAAATACGGAGTAGTTAATATGTGTATTATGTTCATAGGCCTCTCACCATATACACAAAAAATATTTACATAAAAATAATCATGAAAAAATATAACTAAACCTTAATTATCAAGTATAAGAATAGATATTATATATTGATTGGCCTAATTGTTAATAACTAAAAACTTAACAATTTGAACAAAATGGACCATAAATATGTATAGGGATACGGGACCGGACTTATTAGCTCGAACGGAGCTACACCCTATATAACTTAAGCTTACCATATACCATTGTGGGCTAGGCCGGCCCCGACCAAGTGATAAATATACATGTCCAAGTTCGCTTATTTGTGCACGAGGGCTAGGTGGGCCATGTGGGCTGGTTCTTTTTTGTACACATCTAGGATTGAGAAAGATGGTTAAGTATAGTAAACGAAAGTGAATATTTATTTCTAAAATTGCAAAAAGAAAATCAAAGTTGATAAAAATTGGATATATAAAGTAAAAGATTGAACAATCTACGTTGACCGGAAATATTGAACCCCATCTACCTAGGACGGAGGTAGTGCCTTTTTTTTAAAGAAGGTATGGTAGTACCTTGTATAAGAATTAAATAAAACATACTTCCTCCGTCCCTGAAAATACTTCTAACTTTCCCTTTTTGTCCATCCCAAAAAGAACTTCACTTTCCCTTTGGCAAAGAATTTGTGGTTCACAGTAATTTTTATACATTTATCTCTCATATTCACAACTCTCCACCACACAAATTCACTTTCTTAATCCGTGTGTCATTTTTACTATAGAAATAAATTCAGGGATGGAGGGAGTAGACAAAATGGAAAATAGGAACACATGTTTTTTCCCAACATCCAATGAAAAAAATAGGTTTTCTGAGAAAGAGGGATTTGGAAATGGGTCTTCTAATTAGAATGATTAGGTTGGGTGGGAGGGTTAGGTTCACTGGGAGGGGGTTGGTTAATCTAAAATCCCATTTATTTATTAAGAGATGTAACTTTTTAATTTTTACTCCAAATTTTATAAAAAATATATTAAAATTCATAACTTTTTATTATCTTGCTAATGACACCTATATTCCATATATAAAGTTTTTTTTGAATTTTTAACAGTAGAAATTAAGATCTCATTGTTCACATAACGTTTTTACATGTTTCAATTATTTTAAAAAAAATGTTATAATTTTATCATTTGGATCTATTTAAGAAAAATTTTGAATCTGAAAACCTCATACTATTGAAATTTCATTTTTTTAAGAAAACTTTATATATGGAATATTTGTATGGTTACAAAGAACATAAAAAGTTATGAATTTTGATATAATTTTTGTAAAAATTGAAGTACAAATAAAAAAAGTTGCATCACTTAATAGAAAAATGAGATTTTAAATTAGCCTTAACCCCTACCTCTCCCCCCTCGCCCTCCCCACCCGGCCACCACCCATCATCCAACTCGGAATTGGGGTTTCCGAATCCCGCAAATTCATCCAAGGGAGTAAAGTCCAGTTTTTTGGAATGACATTCATAAAACCCCGTGTTTTTAGAATTTCCTCGATTTATCATTTAGAGTTTTAAGGTTTATCATTTACTACCATTTAGAATATAGTGTTGGCGGGCAGGACCATGCAGGTGGGGTGGGGGTGGCTAGCAACAGTGGCATGGTGTGGACGACATCTGCAGATGTCGGAGGCGACCGAACAATTGTGGTTGCAGACTTGCTAATTGTATTATACTCCCTCCGGTTCTGAAAGATCTTTACACTTTCCATTTTTAACAGTACCAGAAAGATCTTTACACTTCCTTATTTACCTTATTTGGCAAATAAATCTACACAAAACAGTGCCAAACAGTGCCAAACAGTGCCAAACAGTGTTTATTTCCTTAAAAACTGTGAATTCAAAGTGTCAAGATCTTTTAGAACCGGAGGGAGTACGTAGTAAGAGAAATTCTGATGGTAGTGATATTTTTTGTCAATCCATTGAATCTTTACTCCTCGCCCCTGGTAATGAAAACATTCTAGCCATATTAGGGAACCACCTTTATTCCTATAACCATGCCACTAGAACTTAGTATAATTTGGGTAACTGTGGTGATTCGAGCCTCGAGAAATTTGATTTATATACAACTAAAACTAGGGGTAGTTCGGTACCGAATATTTTCTCTCGTACTTTTGTCGTACCGAAACTTTCGGCATACAAAATTTATATACCGTTATCTTACCGAAGTTTCGGTATATCGCGTTTCGGTATACCAAAGTTTCGGTTCGGTAACGGTACAGTATCGGTAAATTACCATGCATGTTCCCCAATTCAAAAAATTATCATAGACTAACAAAATATAATAAATCGGTGTACTAATGGCATATTTAATTCATTAATAAAATCTTACTCCGTATAAAATACAATTAATAATCTATTGATGTCATATTCAATATTGAACAATAATTATTATTAGTATATTTAAGCAGTTCAACATATTTAAATAACTTGAACAATATATATATAATTAAATGAATAGTGATCACTAACAAAAATAAATAAATTATTCAAACAACATGGATATAAAGTCATTTGTCCATAATATGATTTTGTGTATTTAGTCTTTTTTATAATTTTAAATAAAATATTTGAGACTTCGAACAAAGTTATGTGTCTCGACTTGCGGAATCTCTATGTCGATACACTCGTCACATAAGTGTATCCCTCTTCACTCGTCAGCTACTCAGCGGCTCAGCCATCGCGACTCGCAAGCTTATGGAACGGGATGGACTAGTCGATCTGGACATTATTAGTACATTACTCATTAGTCATTAGGGTTTGTTTGTTTGAATGTTACGTAGTAGAAGCTTATAAGGTTATAGTGGGTTTGAGAAATTGGGCCTTTATTTTTGTATTTTTAGTATTTGTAACCAACATAAGTATTAATATTGAGCTTCAAACTTGTAATGGACTTTTACAATATTTTAGAATTTATAGTAATCATTGGGTGGGAGTCGGTACAGTATTATACTGGTATACCGCGGTATTTGAAAACATTTACCGTTACCGTACCGAAAATAACGGTATACTAATATTCCGGTATTTTCGGTACGGTGATTGCGGTATACCGATTTTCCGGTATTTTTGCCCACCCCTAACTAAAACTTAGTGCACAGAAATAATTTATTTAAAGTTGTACGATAAAGGGTATTATGGGAAATCTAATAAATTTGAGTCCTAAATTTGTCTGTGGTCCTATCTAACGAAAAATGTCATTGTTGCTCTTATTTGAAGACATCTCCCTCTTCGTTTTCACCCATTAAATGATGGGTACATAACTGATATTGTTAGGCAAGCATACCATATTTGGAAGAGTCTGTGGAGGGATGGAAATTGTGAAGAGACTTGGCAGCGTTCAAACTGATAACACAGATATGTAAAACTCTTTTTCTTTCTTACAATCTTACATTCATAACTCCCTCTCAATAATACTCCCTCCGGTTCCATTTGTTTGACACAGTTTGA